ACTCTTTCCTGCCTATGCAGGGGGTTGGACTCGATGATCTATTGAGGTCCCTTCCGACCCTAACATCTATGAATTTATGAAAAAAACCACTAATAAAGCCATGCAACTCATCTATAATTGACTGAGTACAAAATTCTGGGTTATTTTTCGTGAAAATAGGGTATCGAGCCTTGGTTCAGGAACCAATCCCACATTTATAACATCATTTCTTATGGGAAAAATGGTTCTGAGTTACAATGTTTCAACTTACGATGCCGTTTTCAGGAACCAATTGTGTCGTAAGTCTGAGGACCAAAATTAGAAAGGGCCAAATTTCCTATAGCCTTTAGGGACATTTTACAACAATTAGATTGTTTACATCTGAAACAATCTCAATCAGTCATTCCATTTTGTAGATTATTCAGATAAATAAAAGACTTTAAGTATAAGAAACCATGGAGAAACACTCTTGTCTTTTCCATTTATTCCACCATTTTGCCACCCGTGATTTTACATGGCTAATGTAAACAAGGAAAAGTATACTTGTATTTCTGGTTGGGAACCCATCTATCACCTTCTGAGCAATTTTATGTATTACGAGATCCAATAAACTTTGCTTTGTTTGTGTTTTCCAGGAGAGTACTTAACCTTTTTCCCCGTGACCAAGAAAATAATCAGCAAAATAATTCTCTCAAGTCTCTCTCCAACTGTATGTTTAAAAAAAACCCCAGAAAATTCTTTGCCCTTTGATTATTCCATATATAATCCATATAGTTGTATTAGAAAGCAAATGTACAAGTAACTTTCTGAACAGAATTATTAACAAAGGGACAGAAGCTTGTAAAAGCAGATGGATGAAAAAGTGTCATGCTTTTCACAAAGATTGATTGCAGAACATGTTAAAGTTTTATTAAATATGACAAAATCTATGTTGTATCAAAATGGTGAGAAAAATCTTATGCTCTTTGTGGTTCATATATTTGTATATGGCTGTTTTAATCAAACTTGGAGAGAAGGTGGGTCAAACTGATATCTAACTTAATCTCTCTGGAAAGTAGTAAAAGTCACTGTAAACATTTTACCTCATAGTGAATAATACTCTTGATAATTTGCCAGTACACACACACACACACATATACACACACACACACACACACACACACACACAGTCAGGCCCTCTCAGAGGTCAAGAGAGGCCCGGGCCACTTCCATTTTTTGAGGCTCAAAATACAATGCAATAATTTGTAATAAATGTTCCTTTTTTATTTAACAAGTAATTTTCTAGCTTTTTTCTTCTTCTTTCAATCCTGTCAGTGTATCTCTGTGTCTGTATGTATAACGTCGTTTGGAGATAACATCAAAAGTCTAAATTTGAGACCCTCCGTGAATGAGAGGCCCAGGCCAAATGGCTTTCCTGCCCCCGCCCCCCCGCAATGATAGGCTCTGTATACAGTGAGGGGGAGAAGGGGAGGGAGAGTGCTTCTTGTTATTAGTCTGCAAAGTTCCCTTGCACCCAGAACTTTGTGGTCAAACTTCTCAAATAAGCATGCAACCCTATGGCTGAGTACAAACAGTCAAAAAGCCCAAAGCTGAATTGTCCTTGCAGATTACTTTAAACTACACAGATTAAATTGAAACAGAAGTGACAGACATTTACCTTTGATTCAGGAAATGCAGCCATATGCCTGCAGTGGCTCAGGCCAGAAGTCAGGGGATGCTAGAATAGGGGTCTCTAGCATGTAGCCATCATGGGCTGTGTGTTCACTTCCCCTTTCTGCTGCTCCCAAGGTCTCTGGGATTTGTGGTCCAAAATCACAGTAGCAGAACTCTGCAGGGTTGCTTATCACTTCCTCTTACTGTTTCCGGGTGCCTCTAGGATTTGTTGTCTACAGTCACAGTAAGTTTGAGCAGGGGAAGGGGGGTTTCACTCCCCCCCCCGGCCTCAGACCCTAGCCAGGGTTTTCCTGGAGGGTGAGGGGCAGTCCCCTCCCTCCATCCCTGCAGAATGGGCTGCATCCCCAGCCAGGCTTGCTCCCTCCCACCCCTTGTCAGCCAGCCCTCACTACTCCAGCTAGGGAGAAGAGGGGTGAAGCCAGCCCTGCTCTCTGGAGCAGACAGCATAGCCCAACCCAGGGTTGCAAAGCATGCTGGTGTAGCCCAGGTGTACACAGGTTTGTGCTCCCCTCTCCAATTGAGGGAATTATTGGCAGGGCAGTGTGCTGTGGAAGGAAACAACAGCCCAGTGGCTGCCTCCGTCCCCTATAGAATCAGGCCCAGTCAATCAATTCCTTAACTATATACAAATATATTATTACAACAAAACCATTAAAGGGTAAGAACATAGATTATATATATATATATAATGTACAAATTAACAAAACAATAAACCCTATAGCATATACACACACACACACACACACACACAATTATTATTTAAAAATACAGATGAACAATAGAACAACGCAGATCAAAGGATATTGATTGGGCAACCTTATAACTCTGTTAATATACAACCTATTACTTCAACTTATTTACATAAACTATAAGGCACTGTCTACAAATATAACAGCAATCCTTAGACTACCTGGCTGCCCTCCAGGACAGGGGCCCCACTTCCAAGGTACCACTGCAGGAAAGGAGGTGGGGGGAAAGAAAAAGAGAGGGAAATCCCAAAGACTCCTAAGCGCCCCCGTTATCACCCAGGAGCAGCCCACATGGTGCCCCTTCGCAACCCTGGGGGGTACCTCCCCTGTGGGGACCCTCTCTCTAGGGTAATTTACTACTCCACAGTCCCGGAGGGTTGCCTTCTGTTCTCCAGGTTGAGCTCTGATCGCCACTGGGCTTTCCTGCCACCGGCTCAGCTTAGGGCCACATGGACCACTGTGTGTTTGCCTTGTTCTAGGGGTTGGAGGTCCGGACAGCCTTGTGCAGTACTGGGGCTTGGTCTGCTCCCGGACACTCTGGGCAGCGTTGTCTGCACTGAGCTGCTGCCCTGTGCCAGCAGCTATAGACCTGAGCCACCTCAAGTGGCTCCCAGGGTCTGTCACCCTCCATGCAGCGCCTCCAACACCAAGCTCCCAGTCTCTTGCGGAGGTTGCGGACGTAAGACGCCCAAACGGCTCCAAAGATCCTGCTCCGTGCACTGGCCTGTGCACCGTGTCTCTGGCTGCACACCAAAGGTTGCAGACCTGAGCCATCTCACACAGCTCCCAGGGTCCAGACGCCATGCACCATGCTGTGCACCAAGAGCCTAGCTACTGGAGCTGTCTGCAGCTCCCCACAGATAGAAGTCTTCAGGGACTTTTCTTGTGCTACTGCTTTGCCCTGCCAGGCAGCTCTCCTCAGCTCTTCTAAGACCCGCTCTTCTCTCTTCTTTCTCCCCAATGCATCTCCCTTGTGCTGGGTACACAGCTCCTTTTATACGCTCCAGGGCTCCGCCCCTGAAGTCTTTGGGACCTGACAGTGTTGCAGTCTTCAATCAGGTGTGAGGGAGCTCTTCTCCCCCTCCCCTCAGGAAAGGGGCGTGACTTTATTTCTCTTGCACCCTCCTGACTGGTGGATGGGCTCCACCAATCAAAACAGCAGAATCTCAAGCCTGGGACTCAACCCAAGCTCTGAAAGGTGAGCCTGTTACATATACTTAGTGCCAAATGGAACACTCACAAAGGAACTGTTCCTAGGTAAGGAGGTTCAAAATGTTACAAACAGGATAAAAACCAATGAGAGGCATGTACCACACGATGAGCAAAAGTACTGAAGTTAGCAAACAGTTACAAAAGTTCAGCACCAAGTTTCTGACCAGAAAGTACTTTACTGGCAGGTTGGCAAAAGTAATACCCAGCTGTGCTATAACAAAGCAGCTGTTACACTAAATAATGGGAAATACATAGTGTTAAAAAACAGTTTTCACTCAAAAGTATAACTGTGAAAGGGTCAAAGACCACTCTTGAGAAGTTAGAAAACAAGCAACTTGAAAAGAAAAATAAAGTGAAAACTTTACAAGTTGCTTTAAATCCTGCATTAAGTTAAACAAATTGGACAGGGTAAATTATATTGTGGACATCCTGGACATCCATTATTTGGGATGTAAGTAAAGGGTAAAACAGTTGAAAAGCCAACCTCATATGAGACAGGGAAGACTCATGCTATGCCGTAAGTTGAGTAACGAGAGGCAAAACAATAGTGCTGTCTGTTTCATAACTATAACAAAGTCCTGGAAAATCCCACATACAGGAAATTAATAAAAGGTAACAAATATAGAAAGAGACAAAGCCTGCAGCTGCCTCCATCTCCTTTAACAGGGAGGAGAAGTATTTGTGGAAATAAAAAATAAATAAAAACCCAGCTCCCCAATCCACTGAATTCTCCATAATCAAACCAGACAATGTTGTCACAGGGGAAACTCAGGAAAGTATTTTATTGAACACAAAACACTAACATCTAAAGCATCAGACTCCACAAGTTAGTGCTGTAGCTCACTAAAATGGATTATTATTAAAAAAAACAACAACCTAATTCTATGTATTCAAAGCTCTAACTTAACGAGAAGGGTCAAGTTTAACAAAAGGCAAATTCTAGATTCTGGTTGTCTGCGCATTTCTGAAACTGAAAAGGGGGGACAGGGGGAGTGTCCACCTCTGCTCCCACTTTGAGAGCTCAATGCCTGGTCAGCACAGCCTTCTACCAGAGCACCCTGTGAGCAGTGGGGTCTGAGCTCACTAGTTGATTAGAGTTCGAGTCCCTGCTTTTGCATGCCTCCAGAGCTCGAGCTCAGGGAGTGAGAGCTGCTGTTCTTGGTCCTTCCCCTCCTTCTTTCTCCCCACTGAGGTCAGCAGGGCTCCAGAACCCTGAGAAAGCAGGCCCCTGCTAAGAGCTCACATATGATGCAGCCATAGGGAGCAGCAACTGCATCACAGCCCACCCTCTCGATCCTCCTCTAAATATAGCCCAACACTATTTCCCCTCCATACTTGAAATAAACTCCCTACCAGCTATTTATTACTCATATTACAGTATGAGTTCATACTGTAAATAAGACGTCATATCAGTTATGAACTGCTGCCAGAGTTTTCCACCTATTCACTCCTTTGTGAAATCCTATGAAATATGAACTTTCATTTCTCCCCAGGGGAACTTATACAATCTTTTCTCCAATGCCTGATGATGGGTGTTTGTGCCCAAAAGCTTGCACTTAAAGATTTGTTGTTGTTGCAAAAATCTTGGTGGTCTAATAAAAGATATAATCTCTACTACGAGTCCTGATTTTTCCTCTAAACCAATGTGGCTACAACTTGGATACTTTAAATTACACACTTCCCTTACAACATCATTATAATGTGGAAGAAAGGTTTCAAGCAAGGTTGACTTTTGTTTATAAAACGGCTTCGAACCCTATTTAAGAATGTGTATGTGTACACACACAAATACACATAAATTACTTCATTTCTTTTAAACATAAAACTACTTGATTGTTTTTATACCAGCATGTTTCACCAATACTAGTGCATGATAATTAAATGTACTCAGGATGTAAACCAGTGTCTTTTCTTGTGCTTAGAGGGTAACAAACAGTTAGCTGCAATATCAGCTGGTGTTAACCCTTGACCCACTATTTATTTTCAGCTGCTAGAAGCAATTTTCCATCTTATCAAACTACTGATTTGGTTGTTCTCAGCCTTAACCAAATACATTTTAAAGTGTTTGTTGCTTAGTCAAACAGATTTTTAAAAGTTTTCTTCCCTGAACTATAATGTTACCTGAATTTCCAGCTGAAGTTTCTTCTCTTTTACAAAAAGAGATTAAATATCAATATTGTTTTATTGGCCATGCATGTATGCAGACATGACATTTTTATTTGTAATTGTGTTTTTATATATGTTGTGTTGCCTATCTGTGTACTAATCACTTTGCATGTCATGTTCATGTTCATGTTGTGTTAAAATTTATACTGGCCAGTTGCCCATCAAGAATGACGGGGCCGGGTTGGGGGTGGGGGGAGCGAGTATGGAGCACTGCCACTAAATGCCCTGTACTGCTGCCGCTCTGCCTCTGGCCCCGTGGGCCCCACCCCACTCCCTCCCCACCAGAACCCACTGTCATGGGGGGGGAATGGGGGCCTGTATCCAGCCCCACCCCTGCTTCTCATCTGGCCCCATTCCCCCCGCTCTGCCCTCCCCTCCCCTCCCCACCACATTGGGTCTGGGCCCGTTGCTCGCCCCCCTCCTTCCTCCTCTGCCTTGAAGGAGCAGGGCTGGGGATGTAGGCAAAGCCAGCAGCCTTGGCCTCACTCCCTGCTCTGGCCCTGCTGAGGGACAGTGGGGATGGCACTGCCATGACAGTGGAGACTGAGGGGATGGGGGTGCAAGGCCAGCAGGGCAAGGCCCTGCTCCTTGGAGGCAGAGGGCAATGGTGGGGATGGTGCCACCATGACAGTGGGGACTGAGGGGCAGCAGGAGGCAAGGTTAGCGATGCTGGCCTCTCCCTCTCCCCCCCACTCTGGCCCCTCAGTCCCTGCCATCTTGGGGGGAGTGTGTGGGGATGAAGCCCCCCATCTGGCCCCGTTTTCCCCACTCCCTTCTGGCCGCATTAGGTCCAGGCCTGTTTCCCCCCCGCCGTCTCCCTCTGCCTCCAGGGAGCAGGACTGGGGAGGGGGGCGAGGCCAGGGCTGCTGGCCTCTGCCCCCCACTCTGGCCCTGCTGAGGGACGGTGCTGCCATGACAGCAGGGACTGAGGGGCTGGAGTGAGGGCGAGGCCAGCAGCACTGGTCTTGCACGTTCCCCCCCCCGCCCCCCCGGCCCTTCAGTCCCTGCTGTCATTGCAGTGCTTCTGTCTGTGCAACGCACTCTGATTGGTTGTTCCAGTAAGCATTGTGATTGGCTGCCGAGACAACCAATCAGAGTGCAAATAAAGTGTTATGGACAGACAGACAGACAGACAGACTAAGGCTTTTATAATATTAGAATATTCTAGAATAAGAATAGTTCCCCCCCCCCCACGCCACCACTGCCTCCGCCTCCCACTCCACTCCATCGTCGCCGCCTGCAGGGAGCGCTGCTGGCCTCGTCCCCCCCCTCCACCCAATCCC